AATAGGATGTTGAGACTGATCACTAGAATCTTCACCTTGGCTATTGTCACATGACCTGTTTCTCCCCTCCTGAGCTCTTCATTTTCTGATCGTTACCAACTAACCTTCCTAGTAGACAGGTATAAATAATGTCCTTCCAAAGATGTGGCATTACAGTTCTCAGACTCCTTACCGGAGTGTTGTTAACTAGATATTAACCATGTGAAGACTTGGGGTGAAGGAGGGAGGAGTTCCTGAAGCCTGTGGAAGGGGAGCCTACAGCACATCAATTACCAACTTGAAGGAGTGTTCATTAAGTGAGATGATTTATATAACACCTAGCACATAATAAACGCTCAATAAACATTATACCTGTTCAGTCCCTCTTCCTGGGGAACGTAATCCATTTTCTACCTGCTGATTAATTAGCGAGAGTTCTGCATATCTGAGTGATGCACCATACAGAGCATGGACAGTTGATTCATCATAAATAATGTAATGTCACTATCTGGACGATTTATATTCAGATGAATTGTACATAATATGCCATACATGCTAAAGAGGAACATTACTATTTAGCATTCCAAGCTAAGCCAGGATGATTAATTTGGTTTTAACTTACTATCTTCTTTGCAGAATTTTCAATCTTCTTTCTCCTTTTAAAGGGGAATTATAAGAAATATTTTCTACAATATAATCGCTCCTTGCATATACACTGCTGAAAAGAGCTGCGTGGGATGTTTCCAGAGCCTTAAAAGATCTCCATCTAGCTTTTTATCCAGATGTTTTAGTTCCGAGACTTTATGCTAAGGAGACGTTTGAAAGTATATGGGGAAAAAGTCTTTATGCAAGAATGTGTAAGAATAGGTAATTGCTTCAGTAAATTCATTCATTATATGGAACATTATGCAGTCACCAAGAAATGACTTACACAAAGCATTATCGACAACACAGGAAAAGGAATATGCTTATGTTATAGATTTAAGTAAAAATAATTAACATAGAATAAGGAACTGAAGAAAACATTGCAAAATGTTTACAGTGGTTATTTTTGAAGAAGTGAGTCTACTGATAATACTTTTTCCAACTCAAAAACTTCCCCCGTTTGCTTTTTTAATTGGAAAAGTTCTTTTATACATAAGTTAAATATTACTGGGTCCAAGCTCCGTGAGGCCAGAGTCTTTGTTCCTCATTCACTGTTAGGGTTCCAAGTTTTAACACAGGGCTTGCCATATGAATAGACGTGTAGTAATTTTTATCGACCTTATTTTCTGCAATAATAATGTCTTGTCTGTGTTTTCAAAAAAGATTTGCTGAGTTCCTGAAGCCAGGGAAATTAATAATGTGGAAGAGAGGGATGATGGTCACCAGTCACCATTTATTGAGCACCTACTATGTGCTTGTCCCATGCTATCCAATCTACATGTGTTATTTCTAATCCTTTTCACAGCCTTGTAAGTAAATATCATTATCTACATGTTTCAGATGTGGACACAGGGGCACACAGAGAAAGCTAAGGAACTTGCCCAAGTCCTACTTAGTCAGCATGAATAAAACTCAACCATGGTTGGGCGCAGTGGCTCACACCTGTAATCCCAGGACTTTGTGAGGCTGAGGCGAGCAAATCAGGAGGTCAGGAGTTCAAGACCAGCCTGGCCAACATGGTGAAACCTCGTCTCTACTAAAAATATTTTTAAAATTAGCTAGGTGAGGTGACGGGTGCCTGTAATCCCAGCTACTCGCGAAGCTGAGGCAGGAGAATAGCTTGAACCTGGAAGGCAGAGGTTGCAGTGAGCCAAGACTACACCACTGCACTCCAGCCCCGGCAACAGTGCAAGACTCTGTCCCAAAACAAAACAAAAGAAAAATCACTGTGTAATTCCAGTGTTTTCGCTATTTCTACTAGAGCTTTCCTGGCCATCTGGATCTTTCTAGAATTCCATAAGCAGATGCTCTCTCTCAACACAAAGATAATAACCTTTTAGCCTTTCAGTTTTCATTGCAGATGTTCCCGAGTGACTACCACTCCTCTCTGATTACACATGGCAAGGGTCTATGCATTTAAAATTGTGCACTTAATGACCCAGGATGCATTCCTATCAGGCATCCTGCTCTCCACCCCCATTCAGATTCCTTTACCGAAACCCCAGCACTTGGCCTTCTTGAGTCCCTTGGCCCCTCAGCAAGGTCAGAGTGGATAGCCACGTGCTTGGCCATTTCAGGCACACGAACCCAGCACCATGAAGCCAGATGTTTATGTTTACTACATAATCTGTGATGAGCATCCCTGGGCCCTTGGATTTGTGGAGTATGGAGGTTTAAATCACACTCACCTTCAAGGAGCCTACCTTCTTTCTGCAAATAATTTGTGGCGGGCTCACTCTGCACAGAATAGTGCTGGGTGCTGGAGTCTAAGATGGATAAAAATATTTAAGATCCCTGTCTGTCTGCAGCTCACACCCCACTGGGAGAGGTAGAATCACACATCCAAGTACATAAACTCCTATGTGCTATAATAAGGAAGCTGGGTGTTAGGACGGGCCCCTTCCGTGGGCTGGAGGCCATTGAGGATGTACCAGTGCTCTGAAATATCAAGCATGGGCAGAGATGAAATTAGCCAAGAAGGTGGGGAGGGAAGAAACACAACTCATTTCAGAAATAAAAATGATCAGAATTTCCCAGAGCACAGAGGAACTAGTGAGAGAAGACCCAAGAAAGGAGAAGCATGATGCAGAATCCTAAGGACTGTGTTAAGAATGTTCACATTTACGGCAAGTGCGATGCGAGGCTATTACGAACATAAAGAGGCTCAAATTACGTTTTTAAAAGATCCCTCTGATGGTGTGGGAAATGAGCTGGAGAGGGACGAGAGTACATAGAAGCTCCTCCTTTCTTCCCTGGTCCAGAGCAGCGTCTCTCAATTCATCACGTATCTTGCATACAGCCTGTGTGATGGAGTCTCCTCTGCATCTCTGCAAATCTATCTTAGGGACCCTTCATATGCTCTGTGTACTTTCTCCATCTTCGCACATATCACGGTATATTGGAATTGCCTCTTTACTTCTCTGTAATATCACTAGTCTGAAAGCTTTGAAGGTGAGGATCACATCTATCTTGTATACACTTATATCCCCAATGCCACCAAACATGTTGGTTCACAGCAGGCATTCAATAAACATTTGTAAAATCTCCATTTCATTGAGCACCTACTGTGTGCAAGGTACCCTTCTAGTCCTTTCACATGTTTGAACTCATCCAATTCTGCCAATACCCCTTTGCAGGAGGTTCTATTATTGTTCCCAAAGTCACTGATGAGTAAACTGAGGCACAGAGAAGGCTAGGCAACGTGTCCAAGGCTACAGGCTAGTATGCAGCACCACTGGGTCTTAGTGCATGCCTGCAACCACCGCGCTCTAATGATTATCCAAAGAATGGAATTCTGATCTGTTAGAGCCAGCATTTAATTATCTGTGTTAATAGTTCAAAGCAGGGTCCTGCATCATCCAAAACAGTGAGTAACTTCCAAATAACGCCCAGTGGACTCTGTGATGCATATGGGGTTTCTTCAGTACGTTGACCTTCGTAAATTACCACTTAAAATAGCCAATAACAAAACCTATTCCTGTTCCCTAAGTAGCAATCAAACTAATGGACAGGAAGTAAGGAAGAACTAAACTGGCTAAGCCAAAAAAAGCACTCAATCAACAAATTTAATTAAGCACTTACTTCTTCTTCAAGCTCCCACCATGTTCCTGTTTTTCTCATCACTGCCAAGTTTCTTAAAAGCACATGCTACCCCCACCATCTCTACCTACTTCCTTACCTCTTATTTCCCCACCCTTAAATCAGGTCTTTGTTTGCACAGCCGCACTGAAGATGCTGTGACAGAAGTCACCGACAGCCATGGTATTGCCACATTCAATGGGTCCCGTCATCTCCAGAGCTGTCCATGGCAACATCTTTCACTCCCTGAAATTTCTTCTTTAGCACCTTTGAACACCACTGCCCATCCCGGGAGAAACAGACGGAAGGACATGGGATCCAGAGCACCATATTTTATTTCTCATCTCTCTATCACTGGGAAATTCACAAAATCTTCTTCTGCCCTGAGTTTTAACCCATTGTGTGCTGCTGTGAGATTACTACGTCCCGGCTGTGTGCCTTTCTCTTCTTTCTCCCCTAATCTCACAGGACAGCACAGAGAATTTTCATATGGCAGTATTTCACGTCAATTAGAAAATAGAGGAATCAATAAAACCTCCAAAATATAGTATGCTAAACATATGAATTCACCAAGGAAATTGAGTTTGGTTTGTTTTGTGTTCTAGTAAGGGATTTCATTTGAGGACATCAGAGGTACAAAGTTTCAAAGAAGAGGGGGGTCCCAGGATCATCCAGGATAGGCTGGTGGTAGAACTGCATTTAAACATTGTGGAAAGGTACAAAGGGTGGTGGCTTTGAGATCAGCGACTTGAGCTAAAACTCCAGTTCGGCAAATTCCTAACAGCGTAAATTTCTGCAGTTACACGTAAGCTCTTGAGACTTGAGGTCTTGATGTGGAAAATAAGAATGAGGGATAGTGAAGAACAAGTGGAATACTATATATACGTATAAGACTTGGTATGCAGGAAGCTCTTAGTAAGTGCTTCTTTTCTCTCTTTCCTTGTTAGAGATGTAGCTTCCCCACATTTCCCAGCTCCTTTCAAGATGGGTAGGTCCATGTGACTATTACCATCCAATAAATCGCAAATATATGGGAAGCGTTTTTGGAGTACAATGGCATGATCTCGGCTCATTGCAACCTCCACGTCCCAGGTTCCTGCGATTCTCCTGCCTCAGCCTCTCGAGTGACTGGGATCACAGGCATACACCACCACATTGGCTAATTTTTTGTATTTTGAGTGGAGGCAGGGTTTCACTATGTTGGCCAGACTGGTTTCAAACTCCTGACCTCGTGATCAACCCACCTCAGCCTCCCAAAGTGATGGGATTACAGGCGTGAGCCACCGCACCCCACCAGGAAGCTCCTAGTAAGTGCTCAGTTTCTCTCTTTCCCTGGTAGAGCTGTACTTCCCCACATTTCCCAGCTCCTTTCAAGGTTGGATGGGACAGTGCGACTAGTACCTTCCAATACATCTTCAATAAATCGTGACTGGAAGTCTCGCCTGCCACTTCTGGCTAATGCATTCATGAGCCACTGCAAGACCCTCCAACAGTCCCTTCTGTCCTGGGAGCAAACCGGAAGTCCTGCGATCAAAAGGAGCTTACATTTCTGACTCATCATCTAAAAGACAGCCCTACAGAGTTGCCTAACCAGCTTTGGAGTTTGCGAGAGTGATACACAAGACTTTGTCATGCTAAACCACTCACATTTCTGGGTTAGTCTGTTCTTACAGCACAGCCTAGATTACCCTGATGAAACACATCACCCACTGGGGAGTCCTTGTGCTCCCAGCGGTGGAAACAAGTATGATTCAGCTTCATCTCTTTTTTTTAGCCAAGGTCTCTACTGTTAGCATCTTCTCTTTTCTTCCTCATCTTCCCTTCACACAGCAGAGTATGATCTCTTTATTTTACCCATGAAGAAACTGAAGTCCAGAGAGGCAAAGCGACTTGTCCAAGCTCACACAGCACGTAAAGGGCACAGCCAGGCCAAGAACCCAGGGCCTCCGACTCCCCTCCAGCCCTGGTAAGTGTCCACACTACACCATCTCCCAGCAGCTTCCAGCTTCCAATGTTAATAATGTTCTGAGCTTGCCATACCTTTCAATCACTGTAAGCGATACAATCTATGCTACATTAATGCACTAATTACCAAAGGAGCACATTACCATGCCCTAATTACTAACAACAAGTGTTGTCAATTTACCAGCCTATCTGCCAGTACATGCAAAATGTTCCAGACTTGTTCTCAAGGTTTGGCTTGAGGAGGGAAGACGAAATACAAAGAACAATTGAGTCATTTCATATTGACAACCAGTCAGGGGGCCCTTCCATTGTTCTTCTTTGTTAACTAAACAGAATCCAGCAAAGCCCCAGAAGAAAGGTAGCCGATCGAATGATAGGCAGTAAGAATGAGCTCCAGAAGTAGAACTGCCCACCTGGTTTAGATGCTCATCTTTCCCCTTTTTTCCTCTGGGGTTTTTCACAGCCTCTGTGTTTTCAGTCATAAAATGGGGATAAAGTAGTGTCAACCTCAGAGGGCTGTCCTAGGAATTCCGTAGCATCATGCACATAAAGTCCTATGCAAAATGGCAAGAAAAGAGTAAGATGCTTAACTGTTATTGCCTGTGATGATGGTTGCTATTTAAGGATAGTTTCTTAATTGTTAATTTTTCCAAGAAGATTAAAATCAGGCAAAGGGGCCAGGCACAGTGGCTCACGCCTGTAATTCCATCACTTTGGGAGGCAAAGGTGAGCGGATCACTTAAGGTCAGGAGTTCAAGACCAGGCTGACCAACATGGTGAAACCCCATCTCTACTAAAAATACAAAAATTAGTTGGCATGCTGGTGGGCGCCTGTAATCGAGCTACTCAGGAGGCTGAGGCAGGAGAATCGCCTGAACCCGGGAGGCGGAGGTTGCATGAGCAGAGATCGCGCCACTGCATTCCAGCCTGGGCAACAAAGTAAGACTCCATCTCAAAACAAACAAGCAAACAAACTGGACAAAGAAGTAAGGATAAAAGACAGTAATTTATCTTTTATTAAGCACTTGCCCATTCTATGATGTGACTGCTTGGTAAGTATGTTACTAACATTCTGTCTTTGAATCCTTACTACAGTCCCAGAGTTTAAATATGATTGTCACTTTTACAGATGAGAAAACTCAGGCTCAGAGATGTTAAGTAGCTTCTCTGAGGCCACACAGCTAGTAAGCAGCAGAGCCAAGATTTCAATCCAGGGCTACCTACTTTTTTTTATTTCACAACAATGCTGTCATTCAATTTCACTTTTCATGGACTGTCTGCCTCCAAGCATCTTTATGGATCTGTATTTTGGAAACTTTAAAGGGAATCTTACTTGAGGGCAAAAAAAAAAAAAAAAAAAAAAGGAGCACACCCTCTGGAACTGTCATTTGGGACATAATCGTATCCATTCATAGAGCCTTTGCTGTGTACCTAACGCAGTGTTTAGTGCTGGGGTCACGGGGATCAATAAGATGTGACCCTGGCCCTCAAAGCTTAACAAGAAAACTGATACAAATTTGAGACAGTTACATGTGGACAATATGCAACAAAACTGTAAGAGCACAGAGGAGAGATGGGAACTCAAGAGAGACTTGGAAGAAGCAAAGTCGAAAGCATGTTTTGAAAAATTAATCACCACTTGCATGCGGATTCAGGGAGAGAGGGCATTCCAGGTGCAAAGCAGCAGTGTGCAAAGGCATGAGGTGTGAAAGGGAAAACACAAGCAGCCATTCTGCTGGACTACGCTAATACATGAGAAGGAAGAGGAGGAATGGGACTGAGGGGCCAAATGGTGTCAGATCACTAAGCAGGGACCTTGCCCTCCATGCTGAAGGTACCCAGTGTCGGGTTCTAAGCAGGGGATGGCACAGACGGGTTTTTTGCTGTCTGTTTGCTACATGAAGCCAGTGTTGGCTCTCAACTCACAGTAGTCTACACAGTAGACTCGTCAGGGAGCATTTAAAAAAAAATCCAATGCCAGGACCTCACCCTGGACCAATTAAATCAGACACTCTGGAAGCGCAGCCTGGGCACTGATATATTTTAAAAGCTCTTCAGGCAACCCTCATATACTGCCAGGAATCAGACTACTGGTGTAGGGCAGGAACAGCATACAGGAGGCTCATCCTGGGGAAATGAATTCTGCATGAAGAGAAAGGACAGGATTCAAAACAACAATATTTTTAGGAGCTAGAATTGACAATTGTGTTTGATGAGATGTGGGAGCTGAGAAAGAAGAGGGAGGGAGAGTGGGTAGGAAATGGCACTTCATTTTTTAAAATCTTGATACATAAATATATTATGTGTATATATACCTCACATAATATTATTGCCAGAGTCTAACAAGCCCATCAGCAATTATTGATGCCTCCTATCCCCATAGTGGTTATCCATGAGAGTCCGAAAATACAACAATAATTGAGGAATGCGTATCATATCCTATAAGCACCATCTTCAGTACTCAGGGGTCCACATTCATTCCAGTCACCCTGCATGGTCCAAAGAGATTTGCCTAGAACCTCTCCTGGCCCCATGAAGGAGAAACGCCTGGGGAATTCCACAGGCGGAATGAAATTGCTGTCTCGTTAGTGAATTATTTACTTTGATGCACAATTCTAGCAGTTGAAGTTCAGGTGTCATTGTTCACATGGTTGGGCTGGGAGTGTAATGGAAATACCATTAATCTGATGGTTTTAAAGGAGGCAATTTCCAATTTGAATTATTCTCAAGTTGTGAAATGAGTGTGAGCTGGTTTGTAAAACAGCAACGAATCAATGCACCGTATAACCTTGATTTTTTAGAGTCCCAACGCTATACAGGAAAAAGTGTCCTCAGAACCCATTAAAAGAGGGTTTTAAAAAAAAATGCCATCATCCTCCCGCCCCCTAGGCAAATTAGCAAGACAAATGTTAGCAAAAAGCTCTGCAGACGCACCATTATTTACAAAGGGGAGAGAGAAGAAGATGCTATGAAATAAATCATGCTGACAGTTCAATCAGAAAAACCCAGAATATATTATTCATGCTGTGTCTCATGAGTTGGAAAGGCACTGGACAGGGACAGCCAAATATGTATTTGTGTGCCTTATTTATGCATAATAATTTGAATTCCTAAGGTACCTCTGTCTAATGAAATCTGCATGCTAAACTGACTTGACAGGCTCATTCAGCATGTATTTTTGAACTTTGATTCTTAACACTCTTATCTGGTGCTGGTTAGATACTGGTGCTGGTCTGGATACTGGGGATGCACAGGTGAGCAAGCCAGTGACACCTCTACTCCTGGAAAGGTTAATTCTGCTAGTGAGTGGGGTGGATGGGCAGCCAGTACACAAAGCAACAAAAAGACAGTGGTTCATAATCAGTGCCCAAGAGAATAGCAAGTGGGTGGTGCAGGAGGGACCTGCCAAGGGCTACTTTGTACTGGTGATTGGGTGAGGCCTCTCTGCAGAGATGACATTTAATTGAGCGACATGCAGGAGCCATGAAAAGAGAATCTAGAGAAAACGTGCTCTGGGGAGGGGTCATACCAATGCCAAGATGTGGGAGTCAGAACAGGCTGGGTGTGTCCAGTCAACACGCAGTAGGTGCACGGACCATGATGTAATGAGCTGCAGGGGCAGGTAGGAGATGAGGACTGAGAAGGAGGCAGGGCTTTGCCCAGGCAAGACTTTCTAGGCTGCAGAAAGGAGTTCGGATTATATTCTAATTGCAACAAAAGCCTAGTAGAGGATTGTTTTTTGTTTGTCTGGTTGGTTGGTTGGTTTTTTGTTTGAGACGGAGTCTCCCTGTCACCCAGGCTGGAGTGCAGTGGCACGATCTCGGCTGATGAAACCTCTGCCTCCCAGGTTTAAGCACTTCTCCGCCTCAGCCTCCCAAGAAGCTGGGATTTCAGGAACGTGCCACTTCCTGGCTAATTTTTTGTATTTTTAGTAGAGATGAGGTTTCACCATCTTGCCCAGGTCTTGAATTCCTGACCTTGTGATCCACCTGCCTCGGCCTCCCCAAGTGCTAGGATTACAAGTGTGAGCCGCCATGCCTGGGTTTTTTTTTTTTTTTTTTTTTTTTTTGGTGTGGTGTCTTGCTCTGTCTCCCAGGCTGGAGTGGTGCAATCTTGGCTCACTACAACCTCCGCCTCCCAGGTTCAAGAGATTCTCTTGCCTCAGCCTCCTGAATAGCTGTGGTTACAGGTGCGTACCACTATGCCCAGCTAATATTTGTATTTTAAGTAGAGACAGGGTTTCACCAAGTCAGCCAGGCTGGTCTTGAACTCCTGATCTTGTGATTCACCGGCCTCAGACTCCCTAAGTGCTGGGATTACAGGCGTGAGCCACCGTGCCTGGCCTACCAGAGGATTTTAAGCGGAGGAGTGACAGGATCTGACTTCAACACTTTAAAGACACCTGTGGCTAGGTTGATGATTCAGCACTGGGCTGGACTCCAGGAGGGATGAGAGGGAAAGAGCTGTAGTAAGTAGGGGGTGGGTAGGCGTGGAAACTTGAGTGGGCTTGGGAGTGACAGTAGGGTTATCAACTAAGGAATCAAATTGAAGAAAAGGAAATCTTCCAGAAGGATGAGCTTTTGGAAGACAACCATGGTGAGACGCAGGAGCAAGCAGTGGGAAGTTTCCTGAGTATATTTAAGTCATCAGCACTAACACATTTGAAGAAGGATGGTATTATGTGGGTTGCCTTGCCCAGAGAGCAGGATGTGAATGGGCAAACGTGGGCAGGAGAGGGTGTGAGAAATCCCAGAACCATGAGAAACCTGGTTACTAGAGATGAGGGAGAGGAGGGATGGTGGGTACATTTCTGGACTGATGATTCTCAACTGGGGGCAATTCTGCATCCCAGCGGACATTAAGAAGCCCCTGGAGGCATTTCTGGTTGTCACAACTTGGGAGGCACTGCTTCTGGCATTGAGTGGATAGAGGCCAGAGATGCTGCTAAACCCCCTGCAAGGCATAGGACAGCCCTCACAACAGAGAATTCTCCAGTCCAAAATGTCCATGGTGCCGAGGCTGAGAAACTGTGGATGACAGCAGAGCAGAACAGTCCTGCATTTCAGTCCCCAACGTGTGAACTTGAGTAGAGCTCTTCATCTCCCTGAGCCCCACTGACTCCATCTGTAAAATAGAGATGGTAATCGCACCTGCCTCTCGTGGGGGTGTGGACGGAGCTGAGGCCATCGGGGTAATAACCACACTTGCGGGTGCAGGGGGACTGAGAAAAGGAGACGCTATGCCATATCCCTTGAAATGAGGTCTCAAAATGCCGGGGTAAGTGTGAGAGGCAGGGCCATGCTCTGAACGGGACATCAGAGGACTGGGGTTTTAGTTCTGTCACACACAGTGGGTGGACTTTGGGGAAGTGACTCAACCTCCCTATGCCCTCCCTGTTCTGGTGATAGATATAGTTATAAATATAGATTTGGATATATAGACATACCTGCTCTCAATATAGAAGCATAAAAAGCATGTTAATGTGGTCCTTCCCATAAAGGACAGTCTGTCTGTCTGTTCAGGCTGTTATAACAAAATACCTTAGACCAGATGA